CCCCCCCCCCAATTATCGCGTCTAGCTACGACCCTGGCAGGGAGCTGGCAAAATCTCAAATAAACAGGAGTTTTTCCTGATAGATTGTGTGATACCGTCAGTCGATGACGAATATCGTTTAAAATCATCGTGTCAAATTTCGTGACAATCGGACTCAAAATGAAGGAGCATTTGGCTTTTTTGAAGAGCGTCGCCCCCTAACAACAACGACGACGACAAAGACGACGACACCGACACCGACGACGACAACGACAACCGAATTTTTACGTCATTGTATTTTCGTATGGTACTTTATCCTAAGGCCGGCAACCCTTTCACAAAATACATTCCCTGACACTATTACTTTTTGGGAAAAAATTAGATACAAATCTTTTTAGAGTTGAAAAAGTTTAGAAGTACTCAAATTTCTACAATAAAAAGTGTTTTATTGTTGAAATTTTGCAGCAGATAGGCGGAATGCAAATTGCTTGACAAACGTCATCATCGCAAAAAGCATCGGCTTATATTGCCTATTGGCTGCTGAAAAATCAGGAAATTCCGAAAAAGTATGCTATTATATTCTTCTCTCCTCCTCAGAAGCTTACAAGTTTCTAGTGAGAAAAAAGTGAGCGCGCAAGAAGTGATGGGAAGAGCGATTTCAATTTTCCCATCACTCCGCGCGCGCGCACGCACTTTTATTCAGGAAACTTCATTTTGTTTTATTTTATTTTATTTTATTAGCTTTGTCAACTAGGGCAAAGTCACCACAACAGCATCTGCCAGTTACTGTGGGTCCTAACCCACCCTGTCAACTTCCCTGTGGGAGGAAACCGGAGTACCCGGAGGAAACCCAAGATTTTCGGCAGAGCCTTAACGTTTACTGGGGGGTTCTCGCTGAGATTTAAACCTGCGACCTTAGAGGTGAAAGGCAAGTGCGCTAACTACTTCGCCACCGAAGCCCCTATTCATGGAAGTTATTTGTAAATACTTAATTAAGAAGGCTCTGCGGAGGAGAAAGTGATATTCGGAATTCTCCGATTTCTCAGCAGCCAATAAGCAATATTTCAATAATAAAACACTTCTTATTGTAGAAATTTAAGTACTTCTAAACTTTTTTCAACTCCAAAAAGTTTAAATAAAGTTAGAAAAAATATCCAAGGTGTTTAGTATCTAATTTTGTTTGCGGAGAAAGTAGCGGTTTTTTGTTGTTTGAAACGAACGTATTAATGTGTGTAAATGTATTTTGATAGCAAAGTCAATACAATACAATACAATACAATTTTATTCAGTACCGGTAGTAATACATACATAAATATAAAATAAAGATAAAGTTACGAAAAGAAGGTACTAGCTAACTGTAATAACCAAAAGGCTAATGGAGACAGTCAGCGAATTTGATTAGTAACAAAATATATTTTAGTGGGTAAACTGAATAAATAAAACACATGCAATAAAGATTTCAAAATGGACAATTTTGATGCTATAAGCTAATATGAATTCAATATATTATTTTTAAGTTTGTGTTTAAACTGTGATTTAGAAAGACCCTTAAGATTTTCGTCAATTGAATTCCACACATTACTGCCAACAAAACGTATATTAAATTTTCCATAGTTGGTTCTTACTTTTGGAAGGGAGTATGACGATCTCGAAGCAAGTCTGGTGTTATAATTATGTTTCTGGCTTACTAATGCAAAATACTCATCAAATACGTGAGGAAGTCGACCTGTATGAAAGTCATACATAAATAGTGCATTATGATAAAAAATAAGGTCATGAAACTTGAGAAAACGAAGTTGAATGAAGAGAGGGTTAGTATGATCCTGATAGTTAGAAAATGTTATTAAACGAATAATCTTTTTTTGTAGGATAGCTAATGGATTCACTGTTGTATTGTACGTGTTACCCCAAGCAACTAGAGCGTATGTAAGAAATGGATAGATAAGTGAATAATATAAATTAATAAGAATATCCAAGGTCACAAAATTACGTATTTTTGAGATAGCTCCAATATTGCGCTTTATCTTTTTGGAGATTTCTAAAACCTGAGCTTTAAAGTTTAGGTTAGCATCTATCACTACACCCAAATATTTGAAATTAGATGTTTGCTTCAATAATTTATTGTTAATCGTTAATTGGATACTAGAAGAAATTTTTTTCTGAGGAGGGTGAAATATAACAAAGTTTGTCTTATCGATGTTAAGCGACAATTTGTTAACACAGAGCCATTTATTTATATGCTCAAGTTGACTATTTATAGTAGATTCAAGAATTGGTAGGCTTTTATTATCAAAGAATAAGCTTGAATCGTCAGCAAAAAGAAAAAAGTCAAGAATTCTGGAGGAATTACAAAAATCATTTATATAGATTAGAAATAGAAGTGGGCCAAGGACAGAACCTTGAGGTACACCACATGTAATAGGCATTAAAGATGATCTAACATTGCCAATTGTCACAAACTGTTGCCGATTCTCTAGATACGATTGGAACCATTTAAGTGCCACGCCTCGTATACCATACCATTCAAGTTTTTGCAATAAAATATGATGGTTAACTGTATCAAATGCTTTCGACAAATCAAGGAATACAGCACACGAATATTTACCATCATCGATAGCTTTCTGTATCTTATCAACTATTGATAAAATTGCATGTAATGTAGAATGATTTGAACGAAAGCCAAACTGTTTAGTATATATTATATCATATTTTTCAACAAAGTTTGACAGACGTTTAGACACAATTTTTTCAAGAATCTGGTTAAAAATAGATAATAAAGATATAGGGCGATAATTGTCTAAAATTAATTGTGAGCCTTTTTTATGTACAGGAATGACACTAGCCAGTTTGAATTGGCTAGGTACAGTACCAGTTGAAAGACAACAATTAAAAATAGATTCCAAAGGCTTTGAAATAAATCTCCTTAGCAATTTCAGAATTTTAACTGGTATGCTATACGGGCCCGTAGCTTTTGAGGAATTAAACTGGACAATTATTTCTTCAATTTCGTTAGAGGAAGTTGGATTCAAGAACAGACTATTTACTTGGCGAGAAGTCATAAATGACACTGGACTTGTATCAATACAGGGGACATCTCTAGTTAATGCACTTCCAATATTAGCAAAAAAATCATTAAACCTGTCAGCAATTGATTTACTATCAGTTATTTCATCACCATTAATAAGTATCTTTGAGGGTAAAC